ACACAAAAACATATCTACTCAATCATCAAAACACCAGTTGAAGCTATTTTAACATTAAACTTCACCACAGTAATTTTGCACGTTTACACAAAACTATTTTTAAGGCAAACACAGAACAGCATTGCTGATTTGGTCTCTGTTAGAACAGGTTGCTGTGTAAATAAACTATTAAGAGACTTACCCTATTCATTCATCTTTATAAACTACATCCACTACACTTGGTTTGCTTGCTTCTTTCTTTAAAAAGTTGACATTTTTGAAATAAAGCAGCAAAAGACTCAATCCAAAAACGTACTTCTGTGCAGAACAGCCCCATGTTGTTATGCCGCACAAGCAAGATCCTACTTCTAAGGCGTATTTAACATATTCTTTCACTTTGGCAAGATACTACGTGACTTGGACTCCTTCAGCTGAATTTTAGAGTAGAGAGCTAGTAGATGAACAAGCTTAATTAAAAATACTTATTATTGGCAAAAACGTATCCCACATTCATTAGCTGTTTTGGATCAACTATGAGAACAGCCTCCAGAATAAAACATTAACGTTTCTTGCTTACTGTTTGCTGCAGTGTAGTTCTCAAATAATCAAGTCATCCTCAGCAAGAAGAGCTTCACACGAATCCAAGAACTTTAGCAGATTAAAGCTAGTCAAAAATCTAGCTAATAGAATATGAAATCTATTCTTCCAGGCCTTCGTATTTAAAACAAAGTCTCAATTTACAACATTAACGACGTTACCAAACCCACATCTCACTGTGGTACATGCTTTCCTCTCCTTTATGCCTGCATCCTCAGACCAGTGAAAAATGTTCTGCAAGTAGCATGCTGGAAGTTGAGATCATCTTAGCGCAAATCATGTCTTCATCATGTTTGATGCAACTTTGAAAGTGGAGTATTACACTGGTGATGATAGAACATGCTTCAGACTTAGTTTTAATTTAGATAGACATATGCATTATAAGTGAGTGGTTTTCTTAAATTTTCTTTTGTTTTTTACCTTCAGAGCATTTGCCCGTAAGTGATGCAATAACCAGAGAATCAGTTTAAAGCTCAGTGAGTATAACCCACCCCATGAAACATCAGGGCTGGTATTTAATTCAGTCATGAAGGCATAGAAATGAACATAATACCAGGGTGTGGGCCTTAATCTTTATGCTTCATTGTACAATATGTGGGCCAAAAGAAGAAACTACACAGTAACGACAGCACTGAAAAAGCCTTTTAAGGGTTTGAAAAAGCCTGACAGTGCTTTAAATAGTAGTAGTTTAAAACAAAAATTGTAATACAATGTACAGAGGATTCTAGTTTTTTAACATTTGCTTTTAGGCCAGCTTCAGTCGAGAAGACAACAATGTTGTGACGTCTTCTAAAGCTCAATGCCATCGTTCTTATAGGAAAAAAAAAAAGAGAAACAATATTGAGGAGGCTAAGCAGATAAGTAATTTCCCCTGTTTTTAATTTTTAAGACTGGTTTGGTGCCATCCACTATGTATGAACTGATTTCTAACGCAGTTATATCCTGTCTATACATAGTCTAGTTTCCTCTATACTCTTTTTGTGAAGTTTAATCCACAACAGCTTGGGAAATGCTTAAAGAATACAGCACAGATTATCTCAGGAGACTCATATTCCTTATGAGTATAAAGAGGATGAAACAAATGTCTTTCTAATTTGGAAGATACCTACAGTTCTATTTACTGATTTAAAAGGCCACAACTGAGAAATTTTCAGTGTCCAGGGGAGAAGCATAAAGGAAAAACAGAACAGTAAAAGGGATTTATCTAAGATAAAAAATGATAAATTCACCTAAATGTATTAGAGGAACTATTATTCTGTTAGGAAAACGAAGCCAGGTTCATACTAAATAATCAGGGTGTACAAGAACTACCATTGTACACAGATCATCTGTGAGATGAACTGTTTTACTGAACCATCATAATGCAGTGTTAGAGCATTCCAGTAGCTGAAACCATGGCATGGTTTTGTAACGAGTCTATTTAAGAAAGAACTCCAGAGCAAAAAGAGGAGAGGAGCACTAAGGGCAGTAGGAGTAAATAAAGCCTGGTTGTATCAGCTCTTCACCTTCTCCTTCTAAGGGTGGGAAAGTAAAAGACCTGTCACCTCTCTCCCTACAGCACGCTGAGCTGACAGGGAAAAACATCAAATACAGACCATATTTTTTACTGCCTGTAGCCTGCAATGTAGGAGAGAGAACTTAAATATTCACTTTTTTTTCCTGCCAGATAACATTAGCACTGCACATTGCTGTTTCAAAAAAGAAGACGTCTATTTATATCCCATGGCTAAAATACCAAAGGTACACACATGCTCATATTTTCAGATATGACTGTGCAATTATTTGCGCAAAAACATGCCTTTATTTCCACTCCAGCTGTGCAAGGTTCACTCAGAGTTTTTTCCACATACAGTAATATGCTTACATGTATGCCTTCTTACTCTTACAGTCACTTCACATATGGTTTTAAAAGACAGTGTGGGAAAAGATCAAATCACGATGAACATCAATCACTTACAGTAGTCCCTGCAGTTCAATGAGTTAGTCCACCTTGAGCCTGCTCACGTAACATATAGGAGGGTTGAGGCAGACCCTTCAGAGCAACTGAAGATGCATGTATTTAACAGTAACCATCTTGAGCACAGCTATTCCTAGGCGTGTAGATGCCCAATCTACACCGAAACGAATGGGAATCGACATGGAAATGCCTGTGAGGACCTAAGACCTCACCCATCCTGCCTCTGGGTTACTTGTTTTCTCTCCAGCTTCCTCTGGTGTCCTAAACAACATATTATCATCTACTCACTGGACTGCACTATTGATTTTGCAACAAGGCACTAGAGGCTACATAGGCATTCCCCATGTCCTTGGATACACTGCCTAGTTGCATTCATATGCAGTGCAGAAAACTTACAGAGTAGTTGAACTGGCACTCACTGGACCTTCCAGGATCAGAACTAAGGCTTGAGAAAACACTTCAGAAACAGTAACCTTTTAGCAGCCTTAGCTGGCACTGAGGACGGTTAGTCGAAGGGAAGATTTACAGAGCACTAACATGGCCTCCCTCGAGAAGCAATAAACAAGAACAAAAGACGCTCAAGAAAAATATTATTTTACAATTAATCTTGAAAACATTCATTGAGAGAGAGAAAAAATAAAAGCATACTAAAAGCTTTCTCCAAAAAAAACTGGCCAGGAGCACTGTCTCCACAGTCTCATCAACTTGCAACTGTTAACGTTAAAAAAAAAAAAAAAGTTATACTCACCATCTCCAGGCACTGACATGAAATGAGCGTCAACTCGTTTTTCATCCTCTCCATACTCGTTCTTTGCCAGTAAGGTATAAGCACCATTATTCAGGTGGGTAGGATTGTCCAGCTGAAGGCAGCCATGGTATTCACTTTGATTGATAACATGTATTTTAGTACAGATGTATTCAGACTCATTCAGTATAGCCCCTTCATAGAACCACTGCAATGTGGGCTTAGGGTTCCCTTTCACAGTGAATGGAATACACCAGTGGTGGTCCGGGGTTGGAGATTCAATAAATGTGATATTTGGTGCAACTATATTGGAAAAAAGAGTGAAGAACATCAGAATATTCTGAACATGTTTTTCCTCCTTTCCCTCCCCACCACAAAGTTATCGGGGAAGTATTTTTCATTCATCAGTATAGAAGTATGTTACTAGTAAGAATGATACCTGTTTGGAGGCTACTGACACCAGAACCTACCTGCTCTGCCTAGGGTACTATGCTCACAACTGAAATTATGCCATTCTTTAGGAAGAAATAAAACTAGTTTCAGACAAAGACCGAACACCTGTTAAATCACTTAAACCCTATAAGTGTGGGAAGTTCAGTTACTGGATCACTGAAAAGGGGAAGAGAGACATTTTAGCTTTACTCTGCTGAAAAAAACGGTGCAGAGGAGTGTTGAAGGAACACAACAGTATTGAAAATATTGAAAAGTTGGCCAAAAGCAAGTAGTACTGGAAACATATTCAGCTAGGAATCCAAACTTTCAGATTATTTTCTTCACAGAATCAAAGCCAGAACAGATGACTTAATTCCCTGGATTCTTCTGTCAGGGAAAGACGACTTTCTACTACGCATTTTCTTTGTTCAAACCTGCTAGATGCCTCAACTTTACAGACTTGTTCTGTTTCCCTCAGGAGATGGTTCCAACACCTTGCCCATTATTTCGCTATTGGGAAATTTTCCTTGATATTTACTCCTAACTGCATCCAATTTGGTCTAGTTATACTCCCTTTTATCACTCACAACAGTGCCAAGCTCAGAATCTCATTTATACTGTTCAAACATTTCTAGTTGATGTCCCTCCCCATAGCTATTATATATCCAGTTTAAACCTACAAAACTACATCTACAGTGATTTTTCTCGTTTACTCTGTCATGAGCGCATGCTGAACAAAGCTTGCCATCTACAAAGCGTTCCATTCTCTTCTTCAATTAAACACAGGGCTGTAACTTGTGAAAACATGCTGTCTAGTTCACATAAAATGAATTCAGGCTGGAGCTTAGATCTAAGAAGTCAGCGCGTCTACAGGCATTGAGTCCCCTCCCCCTTCCTTGGCCCTGACAAATAAGTATATTATTCAAAGCTATGACAAATAAATTTACATCTGGCAGTACGAATGTTGTAAGTGTGTTATTTTTTGAACAAAGCAGTTGTTGCTTTAGATAATAAGAACATTTGTTGTCTCTTATTTATTTTACAAGTCTTTTGATGCATTCACACTTCTTAATTCCTAAGACAGTGTCTATGTACATGCACACCATTACAAACCTTCCCATACTGGCAGTGCTATTCAGTATTTTGGGTTTCAGACCTTTACTTATAGATCATTCTAACTGGAAGATAAAGCATTTAAAAATACATTTTTTGCAGAACACAGGGCTGAAAAAGATAAAAACAACAACTGGGCTACTCCCAGCAATAACTGCAGTGGAGAGTTCACATCTTAGGGTTTTTGTTTCAACAACCTGCGTGCCCAAGAAATATTTATACCCAAAACAGCTGCTGCCCATGTAGTTTGGCCTCGGGAGCTGTATGGAGGCCTGCGTACGTACAGAATACTGTGAGCTCAGCAGAGGCTTGGTCCTCTCCCACAATGTTCTCTGCTACGCAGGAAATCCACAGTCCGCTGTCCATGGATGAAACATTCTTTATGGTTAGCGAGGCAGGGTTCTTACTTGTGTCACTCTACAAGTGATCAGAAAAACACGTATGTGTCAACCGCAACATAAAGAACAAGGGAGAGGAAAGGAATCATTGGCCACAGCTGAACGGCATTTTTCATTTTCCCTTCCTTTAAGCTGTATCAGTCCACAATTAATCAAAGCCTTACTTTAGTGTCTTATCCAAATAGATGCAAAACACACACAGAACCAATTGTAACCACCAGCGGCAGTGGCTTCAAAGCTCCAAAAGTCCTGCTACAAACACTGCACTTAACCATTCTTCTGTAACTTTCAGTTTCTCCCTTTCTCTTAAACACTTCTTCCCCTATACGTAAATGTTTTTTTTCTCTACCCATACCCTTGCTAATCCCTCTCTTCCACTTCATGACCAATTTCTATGGCCTATCTCTGCTCCCGTCAAATGTCTTCTTCCCTCCTATATTCTATTCAGTCCTTGCTTTATTCTTCCTTTGGTCTGTTTCCTTTATACTTATGCTTGACATCTCTTCCACTGCTGCTTTCTGAGCTCTACTGTGCCTTGACAACAATGTGTCTTCTGCCTCCTCCTTAGTCAAATTTCTCTTGAAAGCTTCTTGTTTTCATGAAGCTTTCGACGAGAAATTACGTACCTTCTGTTACTTAAGCTACTGCCCAAGTACTGGTTTAGGTGTTCAGGCACAGAATAAATTAAGGTAAGAATTATGATTCTTAGAAATCTTGATTCTTATGATTCTTAGAAAGCTTAGTGCCCATTTACAGCCTTAAATGCCATATTGAATACACAGCTATGCAACAGTAAATAAAGCAAATAGGGCTGAATTACAAAAAAAAAAAAAAAACAACCAAACAAATGAAAAAAAAAACACTAGCTAGCAAAGCTAGTTGTTAAAGACTGGTTTTCTCAAATCAGGCTCTTCATATGATCTCCAAATAATTACTACTTCCATACTTGAATTTTTCATAAAACGCGAGACTATTTACTTAAAAAGGAAAGGAATGTAAATGCATTCAGAAAATAAACAATAATTAGGATCATTTTTAAAAACTAATTTTGAGGTACTTTTCTTAATGTACACACACACTACAGTGCTGCACAGAACACAAAGAACACACCGCTTCTGTAAAACCACAGTGACTTTCAGTGGCAGCCAGCGAGGACATGCGGGAACGCTCCTGCATGTGGTTCTGTGGGACCAGAATTTTGAACCTCGAGATGACACCTTAACTCAAGTTAAACATCCCTTTGATTTCAGTGTGACACTAGGGGAGGTGAGCGGAAAAGCAAACACGTCATTACACATTTCTCTACGTGCAACTCTCGGAGGTGAGCAGCGCTCAAAGCTGGACTGAAAGCAGAGGGGCTCAACCACAGGCTCAGGGCAGAAATCTAGAGCAAGAAAAATCTAACCAACATCAACCAGATCATACGTCAGTGTAGAAACTGAGAGTGTACAGCTAGCTTTGCACAACTAGAGTTTAGTTTTAACTTTTGTTAACATCTCTCTATAGAACAGGAAAGAGAAAGAAAACAGGCAAAAGCAGCAGAGGAGGTGAAGAAAAGAGAGGCAGAAACTGAGATAGGCAAACTATCTCAGAACAGAAACTGAAAGAAAGGAAACCAAGAACAACACTCACAGAAAAGGGAAGGATAGCCGTGAATGGCAAATGAGGTTTAAAAGGCACTCATTCTTCTGCTACTGAAAAGACTACTGTGCTCCACAGCTAAGGTTGTAGCTAGCCTATATTATGAACCCCTCTGAAATCTCAAGATGAAGTTACGCCAGGGCAGAATATTTATGGAAAGTTTGAAGCAAACTGACCATGGCATTTCAAAGATAGGAGGGTTAAAAATTAGGTGATCTCACTTTTTGAACAGCATCCCACATTTGTTTTGGCTCATAACTCAAAAAAAAAAAAAAAAAAGAGCACAACTTGGCGTAAGTTCCTCAAACTGTTTTAATTTCTTGTTCTTGATGACGACTGATGCCTTTGGCTAGTTTTACAGATTAGTGAAAATTTTAAAAATAAAACTACAGCTCTGCAGAGCTCTCACTTATGAGGGCTAAAAGACAGGCTAGTCAAATTCTTTGCAGGTCCAATATAGTAACCTCAAAGAAGAAAGAACAAATGTTAAGAGACCCTAGAGGTCTTATCTCTTCTGCACTGCAGAAACAGTTTTGGAAATACACATCTCACACTTAGTACGGACCAGGAAGCTTTAGGCAGTCTGCACCATCATGTACATAGGAAAGTCAATGTCATAAATTTGTAAATAACAGAGGGTCTTGCCTACAATGTAAATAATGGCAATTTAAAAGGTCAGCAGCTGCATGTTGAAGATTTCCTTATATGCTTCTCCTTATCAACACTGCCATCAGAAAAAACTTAATTATTTTAATTCCAGTGTGTGCACAGTCTAAGGTAGTAAAACCTTCACTTCGATTTCCAAGGCTTCCTGTTGTTGCTTTGTTTGTTGAAGGAAAATTAAACAAGTGACAAAATAATATTCACAATCAAATTCCAACACAACAAGCTTTTGGCATGAAAACATAATAAAATTAAAGATATACAAAGCTTTTTTTCATGATTAGGGTAGATTAGATTTATTCTCTATATGCAGGTATCAGCGATAGTAAGAAAGCCCTTGTGTTTCAGTATTCTAATTCACCACATTACTTCCGAAAAATTACAGTACTCTTATTCACAAGTGAATATCTAAAAAGCAGAGTGTAGATCAGGGTCTCGAGGAGAGAATGTCTGCTATTCTCCAAAAGCTCTGTGGCAGTCACTCTGGAATGAAAGTAACTGGAAAACAGATGTAATCCCAACATCAATTTTCTTTTTCATCTTTTTAGTAAAAAGTTAACTAAAGCCGGACATGAACTTTCATTTCATCTTTCAGCAGGTATCTCCTGCCTCTGAACTGTCACGTATTTGAATATGAAACTTACCTCATGGTTTGAGACAAGGTTAGTGAGCACCCAGGACACGTTAGGGGGTGGCCCGCCAGTAGTATCACAGTACAATGTGATGCTCTTTCCTTCCACCACAGTGATGTTGTAATTGCTTAAGTTTGCTGAGGGCAAGTCTGCGATAGAAACAACAACAAAACAAAACACGTGCGTTTGTATTTGACAGAAACCAACACCACTCAACTCTAAGCAAGCTGTGTAAATGCAAGCAAAAACACCACTAAATGAGATATTCACTGTCGTCAGTTACTATTCAGTCAGGAAGCACAAACATCATCTTTGGAAACATATAACTAAATCTTTAAGCTGCTATGTAACAATTTTCTTCACCTCCTCCACTTCATATCCTAAGAAAACATTACTGCATGTGGAATTACATTAATTTAATTATACAGTGAAATGTTTCAAGTGGGCTAACAGAAGTTATCCTAACTTCAGTTTTTAACTTCAAAATGAAAAAAAAAAACTTCCCTTATTCTTTAAAACATGAAACTTCATCTGTCCCTTTGCAACAGCTGCAAAGAAATCTCTATTTTCCATGAACTTACATTGTGGTATTCCCACTGTTCTCCACAACACTAACAGGAAAATCCCATTAGCTCCTGGTATCACACAAGTGATTGCAGCCATCCCTCTCATACAGAGAGACAGCTTACAGAGAGCTGGGCAAAAAATAGATCTTAAGTACAAAGTGAGGGAAACAGAGCACTGAACAGATCAAACCAGAGGAGAGAACGGACAGAAGAGAGGCTTAGCAATTGCATAGAGATGCTGCACAAGGCACTTTAGCAGACTTTGCTATTGCCCTCAGGAGAGCTGAAAAGCAGTGAGATGGTACCACTCACCAGGAAACGAGCCCAGATTTTGCAAGAATCAGGACTCCCCTCCACCTCACAGAGTTATAAATCACTCTGTATCTCATTCTTCAACACCTAAAGCAATGGGAGCTTCCCGAAGAGTAAATATACGCTGAATGCTTACAAACAACAAGGAATTATAGACTGACCCTCTTCAAAAATAACACCAGCAATATCAACAGACTTCAGGCACAGAGGACCTCACATTTCATATTTATTTACACAGTAAATAATTATGCAACAATGCAATATGCTTGAAATATCCTATCTTTCTTAAAAGATACTGTGCCACCATTCGCAGCTGTGACACTCTGTAAATACAAAGCCTTGGCCTCCTTTATGAGGCATTTCTCATCAACTCTTCCAGGCAAGCTCTACTTATAACTTATCATCTCAAATAATCAAGTGTATCTGCTGTGCTGGATATGTATGCATGATTTTGCAATGGCTTTTCTTTTTCTGAAACAATGGTTCTTTTTGTTTTGTTTTGTTTTGTTTTTTAGTGACGAGTACAGTAGTCTCATTATGGACTTGCAGGTGTAGAAGTTTAGCAGCAACTTTTTTGCTCATGTAAAAAGTCTGACACAGACAATTAACCATCGAATCAGTGTGAACACATTGATACATTTGCAAGAACTTCAATACAAGCCATACATATTGGAAATCTGCCATTAAGTTTAATTAGTTCAATAAAAACTAAATGAGAGGAAGTAACACTAAAGAGAAGACAAATAATTTCCCAGGCAATGCTTTCTTGCCTAATAAGATTTGAAGATCAGCATAAGTATACAATAACTGCTGAGGCAATTCTCCCAGTGCTTTAAGCAGAGCTGTAATATGATTCCCGTTATAGGCATCAAGGATTTCTTCTATTATGTTCACTTTATAAATCATATGCTGAAGTTTATTGAGACAGAGCTGGACAGTTTGTATGCTTTGATGCAGTAATCTGTTAGCGAAGGTAGCCATCTGCTCTCGCCTGCTGTGAATTCAAATCTCAGTAGTGTCTGTCAACTAGCTGGGCAGGAAATAAAGCTAATCTTAGGGAACGTTTGGATATTAATTATGCTGGTTAGGGAACAAGGAGAGAAGTAATGAGATCATTTGCTTTATAAAAAGTCACACTTCCATACCACCCCTGAAAACCATTCCAACTATTCTTGCCAGACCTGAACATGCGAAGAGATTAAAGCTCCTCATTTCTTCTGGCCCTAGCACTTGGGACAAGGTCTACACGACAGATTAGCCTAGCATTCACTGTGCAAGCCTGCTCGGTTCCTACTAACACATCATTTCACATGCAACATCTCATGTAAACAAAAATAAAAACAACTTAGGTCCTTTAGAGTCCTCCTTTAATAGCTCTTAAGTTCTGAGACAACTTTTTCCTGCAGTGTGTTTATTTACAGGATAGGCAACTGCCATTTAATTCCTCTGGTACTGGTTCTGGTTCCCATCCAGAATTAGACCTAGCTCTGTTTATTTGCAAAAGCATGCACGTATCATGTTGGTGTTATATCTCTGAGGGAAACAGCTACATCATGCTTGCATCGTTCCTGAAGATTATAAAATAGTAATGTTTACCATTCTACAGATTCCTAAAGTTACACAAAAAAAACAGTTGCAAGACCCAGCAGAAAATACTGCAGCAAAAAAAGTGTAAGTAGAATAGAATAGAATAGAATAGAATAGAATAGAATAGAATAGAATAGAATAGAATAGAATAGAATAGAATAGAATAGAATAGAATAGAATAGAATAGAATAGAATAATCACAGTGTGTGGGTTTTTTTTTTTACTCTCTTTCCCAGTCACAAGAGGTGGATGGGAAACACATCCAAAAATTGCCTTGGGATTAACTTTTTCTGGTTGGATATCTTGAGTTAATGAACTTTAACTGCAAGGTCATTTTGGGTTTTATTTCCAGTGGCACCCAGACTGCTCCACAGAATACACACTAGTTGAGAAGGGGCTCTGTTTGGTAAAAGCAGACAGTAGCATAAGACTTCATATCTAGAAAACGTGATATACTGGACTTATCAATAAAGCAACGAGAGTAAGCAGCAAAATCTGTACTAAAAATTAACTGCATTTAGAACACCACGATGCGCCCTAAGAGACACATATGCTCAGTATGTATGCTCAGTGCAGTGTGAAACCATTCATACGAGTCAGTTGCATTTTGACACCTACACAATTACAAAGATATTCAACCATGCTGTATTTACTCCTGATTTAACTTGGTTAAATACAGTGTTTTAGATGACTATCACTTCTGTTGACACGAGTGTATGTTTTACAGGAATTTGTATACAGTAACTGATATAAGCAATCAGACACAGGTTGAAATACCTTTGTATACTGCCAGTATGGTAAGTTTTAGACTGTAGCGTGAGCCCATGCAAGGTAGACATGACATCATCTTTCCGCAAGTCTCATCTTGATATTCGTCAGACAGAGATTACCCTGTGCCCCAAAGCTCGAAACACAGTATCTCTTTCAAACTTTGATAGCATTAATTATTATAATTCTGGATATCAGTAATAACTCTGCTAGTATCCATTTTCTTTCTCAAGTTTGCTGTATTCTTGGCCTTAATAGCCTTCTGCAGGAGTGAGTTTCACAGGCATGCTGTCCAGGCCGTTACAAGACACCCCCTTTTACCAGTTCTGAAATTTGTTTGTGACATTCAAATTCACTGAATGCCTCCTGTTCTGATGGCGGAGAGAAATGAGTTTCCAAATTATCTAAGACCACACTCTTTTATTTTCTTTTCTCAAGTCCTCCTTCTTCTCAATAATCTACCCAAAGCTTTTCCATCTCTGTAAAAATGAGAGGACAGAACCTGCTACTGTGAATTTTAAACTGTAGTGTAGAGAGTTACACAGTTCAGTAGACGAAAGTGTACACTAAACTCCATGTGTTTCATTATGTATGGGTGTATGACAGCTATGTTATTTCACCACATATAGAATATCTGTTCTCACATTCGAATTGGGAAACTATTCTCAGGAATACTCTGGCAACTCTGGATTAGAATAAGCAGTCACTTCCCTCACCCCACCACAACCAAGCAGACCCTTTTTTAAGTGTGGGGGAGGCTATTTACCATCACAGACCATCATTCGTGCAAATCGATGGCCTAAAGCCATCAGACAGCGGCTGTCAAGCATCACTAGGGAATGACTCATATCTTCACTGTGCACAGCTGGGACTTCAGCAATCACAAAACCAAATACTTTGGACGAAATTTTCAAAGGTTACTACAGCATTTGGCTACACAACTGTCAATGGACATTAATAAAAAGAATGTGCCTAAATTCCTAGAGGGCTTTAAAAGTCTTCATGCTTGCTACTTACTGCTTTCTACAGAAAACTTATACTGGCCTTGATAGAGCCAGACTGTCATTGTATGTCAAAGGAAGGATATGACCTAAGTAAGAAATAACTGAGTATTAATACAAACTGTAGTCTGTAACTCAACTCTCAGCACCGAGCTAACACTCTAGCCAGTACACTACAGCAACTTTTAGAAGAAGGTGGTCTTAAGCAAGGAGAAAAGAATTCACCATTACACCCAAGAGGTTGTTTCACTGGTCAACTATCTTCGCAGTTACAAAATTTTTTACGAAATTATTTCCAGATTGACTTTTCAGTTTCATCTTTCATCTGTTCAGTTCTGGGATTTATTCAGCTGCCCAAAAACCTTCACCAAAAAATTCTCTCAATATGGTCAATTAGCCTCACTAACACCTAAGAAATGATAGGATGAAGAAATGAGTGCCTGAGAGAATACAACAAATCCAACGCTGCATTCATTTATGCCATCCTTTGCACACTAAGCCTCTGATTTTCATCAGCCAGTCAACAAACTCCCAGGAGTTTAGCCATGATGCAGTGTCACTGAATGGTTTTCAATGTGGCCCATGACATCTCTTTTTTGCTTGGCACATTTTTGCAGGTCAACTTGTTCTGTGATAAGAACAAGCAGTTACAAAGAAAAAATTGACATTTTTTTTCCCTCAAAACTAGCCAACTGCATCTGAATTTTAATAAGGTCATCTTAATCCTTACCTGAAATCCTTAATCATCTTTTTAATAAATATGTCAGACCCAGAATGACTAAATTAATACTGAGCCAGCAACCATCTATCAAACTGAACCCTATAAAGATGGACTACCAGGATCACTGACTTATAAAATATCTGCTGTAATTCATAAGTTACAGTAGCCCAAATCCATTCTGCTTTCCTCACGGAAGGTTTCAATACAGTCCAAGGTTCTTGGCTTTGCTTTTTCTCTGTAGTTTGAAAACATACGATTAATTACAGCACTACAGTACTGCTTCATACCACCCACGACTTGTACTATCTGAAGTCAGATAACAGGATATTTGACAATGCAGTTTGTTAAGAGCTGTGCACATAGATCTGCAAATTTCAGAGGTCTTACTGGCTCCAAACAAGTTGTATCGATGTAAGATGTAAGAAAAACAGTCGTCTTGTATCATTCTGTTAAAATTCTGCCTTGTTTGAAAATACAGGATTACACTTACAAATTCCAAAGGCCTTTTCCTATGGGCTTTTATCGGTACAAAAAAATAAAGCAAAAAACTTTCTAGCAATTCTAGCTATAAAGCTAGGAGCTGTTGGATATGTGATAACACCTTCTGTGCTTCACTTAGCAACTGTGAGCCAACAAGCTCTGAGCCAAATTTCAGCCATGGGCTAAGTGGGCATATTTCTACCGAAGTCTGCAGAATGACAGGGCCAGAAATCAGCCTGGATGCATCTTTAGAGCACTATAAACAGGATACTCCTAAAGTTTACATGCAAAACATGAATTAAAGAAACATAAATCATTGTTTCCATTTCCTGTTGTATCACAACCACAAAATAAAAATGCTCAATACATAGAGATAATTGCAGAAATCTCACAGAAGTTAATTCTAAGTTGACAACCATAACCATATTCAATGAAAATAAAAAATTGTCTTAGCCAAATAAAATACAGAATTAGCAGAAATCAGGAACATTTAAAAAAATTATCATCTCTCATATACCTTCTTTTTTCTGGAGCCCAAAGATCACCTTCCACTCCAGCTACAGCAAAGAGAAGCCTGCAACTCCTTATTTCACTGTTCTAACCACCAGGCACTACTCCTCATTTCTCCACTGTAACTGTGCCATCATGAAAAAAAAAACAACCTTGAAATTTCCCTTGCATTAACATGAAAAGTAAAGGTACTAACCTGAAAGGTATAAGGCGGAAAGAGAAAAAGGAATCACAGATTATGATCCTTTTCCTCAGCATATCTCCATACTCTGCTCACTGAGTGTTAATGTAAATTAAAGAAATTGTCCCAGACCAAAACCTCTTCAACTCTTTAGGAGAACTTATAACCATTGAACAGAGCACTGAATAACCACTCTATAGAGAGATACGCTCACCATGCGGCACTGCAAATCTTGGTGGGTGTTTTCAACAATGACTACGGTATTCTGCAAAGTTTCTTACAGGATTAAGCTAGAATAGTCTCAAACACTCTACAGGCTGGTAGTGAGGACATTATTCCCAACATTGCAGGTTAGATTCCTAAACCGAACCTGAATTCAGAAGATGACAAGATCTCCTCCTGTAGGTACTACTTTTTTTTTTAAATCTAAAAAAAAAAAAAAAAGAAGGAGCAGCTACTGTTATGCTCTTTTGAAAGAAAAAAGCACAAATTCCTACCGTTAGGAGAGACTGTGTCCAAACGTAGAAGATTCTTGCCAAAGCCCTAGGAGACAGGAGGTTAGGACCTTCCCATGCCTTCAGCATTGTCTAAGGAGCAATTGGAAGGCAAATGCACCCTGATAAAGCTCATTTCGGACCTCTTCTCGCTAGATGCACTTGCTATTTCAGCATACCTTCTTAGAAGTCCAACTCTCATTTTCTTACTGCGTCAGATCTGACACTCACAACACCCATCTTGTTGATCTATGGAGGAACGTGCTTCTGTTGGAAAGCAGAATGAGTGACGTGGCAGCTCACTGAGCCACCCAAATATTTTAAAATACTAAAACAAATCTGCCTCCACTCATGACACGCCTGATTGTCACATTCGGCTGGGAACCTTTACAGAAAATAATTAAACAAGTACAGCCTCTACCGGAAGATGATGAGTCTTTAAAGTATGCTTCCCCAGAGCCAATACACCCTTACTTTGCCTTTAAGCACTCCATCACTCTCTTTTTCACTAAAATTCTCCCTAGGCCTGACCTGGGTTCCAGTAGGAAGGTGCTGAATAAGAAAGGATCTTGCAACACCTGAATCGTTCAATGGACCTTGTCTCCCCAGTATTAATAGCAACAGTTTGTCTGAAAGAATTTCCAGTTTTTAAGTTTCTATGGAGGCTATCAACCTTATCAACACCTCCCTTGCTAGCAGTTTCCTGAAGGTACGCAGTCATGTTTTCTCTCCAATTCCCTGAATGGTTAAGGAAATTAAAAGACATCTGGAGAAATTGTTCTTAAATGGTATTTAAGCTTCAGTTTATCCATAATAACTTTCAAAAGAAAACCAAATACATTCAGCACTGTTGGGCTGAATATAGCAGGTTAACAGATGAACCAAGAGCTAAACAGTCTTTGCAATGTACGTTAATGAGGCCTAAACCAGCTTATGCAAACCTCTAACAAATGACTTCTTATTCACTAAGTGCGCGTAATGCAGTTGCAATTCCTGTATCTTTATCTGAGGAATTTAATGTGTGTCCAGGAAACACTGAAAATAATGCCAACCTGTCAAATATTGCACTGTGATAAACATGGTCTTGAAACAGAAGCATTTTCAGAGAACTATTGAATAAATGAGTAAAATGATGGGTTTCACTCTTGATACAAGTATACCATATACCAACTACAAGGCTTAAGGCATGCTTTCATGAAATGCCTCCACTTTTAAAGCAAAAAAAGTACTTTCTTTAGGCTTCTCAATACAGTTATCTAGTTGTCAGTCTTCACCTAGTTACACCGTAAGAGCAAAGTAAGAATACTGCTAGGCAACAGTCAGATAGCTGTTTTCCCTCAGTAGATCAGCACTCCACACTTACGCAGATGTGTCAGGTCAGGCACAGAGAGTACCTCTGCAAACCTGCACAATGCACTGAGTTCAGGTACAATACTTGAGTGATCAAGACACAATTATTTCCCTTAGATAGTGCCTTACTTCTTCCTATTTCTAACCTGCTTTGGATGATAAACCTGCTTCATTCGAGTTAAAGCAAAAATTGAATCAGAATAATAAAATAGAATTCCGCATTTTTTTTTAAATATGAGAGGCTCACGTACATCACATACACTCAACTATCATCATTCAGAAGCCCTGATCTACGTATCATATGACCAGGCATCTGTATTAAAGTTACTGGCTGCTTCATGAACAGATAAAAGTATGCATGCTCACAAGGAAGTTATGTTACGGCCATAGTTTTCAAAGCCAAGATACGGCTTTGAAAATGAGATTCCTGTTGTGTTTTCAAGCATCCATAAATTATTGGTTATTTTCACTCAAAAGCTGGAATAATGGAAATTGTTTTAATTAACTTTGGAAAACTCTAAGACAACTTTGGAGCAACAGTGAAACCTCATTACTGTCAAAACTCTCATAAAAAACACTTTTCATGCAGCCATGACCATAGATAAGAATTAAAACTCTTACAGAGAAAATAAGAACAGTTTGCCACCATACATGATGCAAAACATCTAGTTCTTGAGCCAAAATAAACAACACAGGCTAGAGAGCCCATGAATATTCTGAAAGGTAAATATGGAGAATGTTGAAGGCTTTTTTTAAATTCATTTCATTCTGCCTGTAATGTTCTTCTGATAGTCTTATCTGTGAAGTCTGGCTGATAATGGAAAAAAACATCAACACCCACTGGATTATGCCTTTGCTCGTGGTTTTAGACTGCATTGTACTGTGATTGCGTAAGATCTCATGTTTATTTTATTGACTCACGACAAATCTTTTCTGTAAATTCAAAGAAGTAAAAGCATCAATGCTTCAGTTTGCCTTTTCCAGCCCTTAGAACTTATAATCACCTGCCTCCAGTCTGGTATTACCGTTTACTTCTCTACTTCTCAGATAAAAATCTACTACCAGAAAGAAGCTGAAATGAAAGCAGATCCAATCCAGTCATCTGAACAATTGCCTGTAAAAATTCATGGCTTTCCCAACCAAGCAAGAAATGGACAA